TTTAATTTCGATAATACTGTCGGTTCCTAATAAACCGTCGGGACCTAAAAAACGAAATTAGGAATCCGCAAATGAACCACATTTATTGGACATCCGCTTTAAATTTGTGAATATTGCTTAAAAAAAAAGGTTTTTTTCTATTCCATACTTAGTATAAATTTCCCATATATTTTGACTTTTATGCTTAGAAGGGCAGGAACTGAACTGGACTAGAATAAGAGGTGATAGTGTGTGTCTTTTTCTAAGTGTACTTGCACGATATTTTATAAATTTCCGTCGAAATGGAAATATCATTTTCGGCATTTCCGAAAGTTTTCCCATTTTTACGACAAACTATTATAACTCAGCTTACACACAAAAGTTCATATAAACACATTAACTAAATACGAAAAGAAAACACCTACACTTGAACTAAAAAGAATAAAGTTTTTTAATAATTTCATCCTAAGCGACTTAAATGACTACCTAAATACTTTTATCCTAATTTTCCGGTACTGCATGCACCGCCAACGTCCGCTGCCTTGTTGCCAAATCAATTAATATGGATTTGAATCTTGACAGATTTTCTCAAATTTCGTAATTCAAGGTTTTCAAAAAATATACGCTTTGGACAAAAAAGTGTATTGGAAAGAATTAGCTGATTTTTATACAACAATTCCCGGTAAAGACTCCATTTTGCAATAATTTTCATAATTTGTATAGAAATAATTAAAAAATAAGTTTTTCTGAATTCGGGCTCTACAGCGGGGTTCTCTATCATTTGCTTAGTAGGTATACCAAAGTTTATAAAAAAATATTTAATACTGAGAAAGAGAACCTTGAAGTCCTTTTAAGCCAATTTCTAACCATGGATATCGCTCTTAAGTAAAACAAATAATGCTTTTTAAGATATGTATGGGCGAAATAAACCATATTTTTAACGAACACCTACATTTTGTTGGGCCTATTGATTTACAACAAAGATAAAAATAAATATAAACCAAATTTGTATTTTTTAATCTTTCTCGTATATATTAGTAACTATTTATAGAGGATTTTATGTCATGTAGCAATTTTTATGAAAAATAAAATTTTCTAATAAATGAAGAACAATCAAATTTTTATTTTCATGCGTTGCAGACATTTTGCAAAACACTGTATATTTATATTCGTGAGAATAATAATATTTTTAAACTAATTCCTGAAACAATTTAAATTTGTGTGTTTTATCTTGGCAACTGTCAAAATTAGCACACGAGTTCTAATTTCTGATGAACTAACATGATATTATGTTTTCTTGCGGTGTGTTATACATATTTTAGATTCAAAAAATTAATCACACACAATATTATCTACAACTAAAAATTCGTAAAAATGTAACTTAATTTAACCTAGAAAACTGCAGTGGACGTGATTTTTTGTTATTAGTAATTTATTATTACTTGGAAACACATTTTTTAGGTATGCTGTATGAAATCCGTGCAAAAATTTAATTAAATGGATTATTGTGTGAGAGTATTCAGAAAAATTTAGTCATATGATGATTTATACAAAAAAATCATAAAATTACGCGACCTTGTCCAAAAGTTTGACGTAGGTACCTGGATAAAATATAATTTCCAATTCGTATAAAAATATTTTTGATTATATTTTATCCTAATAAAAATTAATTTTACAGAATTGGTACAAATTGTTTAACAATAATGTATATGAAAACAAAGTTTATGAACGACGCCTTAGACAAAGGTTTCAATTGTGCGTATACGGACAATCCACTCGGATTGTGCAGTATATTTTTTCTACGACCCATAAACGAAAACGTACAAAATTTTAAAATGTATTAAGGTTATTAGAAAACAATAATTTTTAAAAATAATTTATGACTTTTACTCATTTATAAAATAATATAAACTTGAAATACAAAATATTTTAATTAGTCTTCATCCTAAATTTGAAATCCGCACCATTCGCATGGGAATATTTTTTAATACTGATAATTAGATTGGTTTTAGATAGTAGTAATAATATTAAGAGTGTATTTGTAAATATAGACGAATATCTTGTGGAATGCTACTATTTATCGATTATTTACAAAAAAATTTAATTATATTTATTCCCAATTTTAGATATTATATTTTGTGATTTTAATAAGAAACTAACCCAATTTCAATGCAAAATTATTTATAACAAAAACGGTCTGTATTGTACCACTTGAACTTACTTGTTATCGTTAACGCAGCGGCGTAACGCAGTATATTTAAGTTTAATTCTTATCAACGCTAACACGGCCAGTCTGACACTGGGATGCTCTCGGCTCAGTTAGCTTGTCCATATTCTGACTACCCTGGAAAGTTACAGGAATCGTTTCTGGTTGCTTGAAATTCTAAAGAGAATAACCGGATATCAACATCAGTGTCATTAAGCAATACCATTGCCCAAACATAATAAACACAAATAATATGTCAGAAAGCAATAACATTGCCAAAACATAATAAACACAAATAATATGTCAGAAAGCAGTAACATTGGTCAAACATAATAAACATAAATAATATGTCAGAAAGCAATGACATTGCCCAAACATAATAAACACAAACATGTCAGAAAGCAATAACATTGCCCAAACATAATAAATACAAATAATATGTCAGAATGCAGTAACATTGGTCAAACATAATAAACATAAATAATATGTCAGAAAGCAATGACATTGCCCAAACATAATAAACACAAACATGTCAGAAAGTAATAACATTGCCCAAACATAATAAATACAAATAATATATCAGAAAGCAGTAACATTGGTCAAACATAATAAACACAAATAATATGTCAGAAAGCAATGACATTGTCCTAACATAATAAATACAAGTAATATGTCAGACAGCAATAACATTGCCTAAACATAATAAACACAAATAATATGTCAGAAAGCAATAATATTGCCCAAACATAATAAATATAAATAATATGTCAGAAAGTAATAACATTGCCCAAACATAATTCTCTATACTCTATTTTTTGAGTATGCTAACTGCTAGAAAGCATCAAATAGGCTCAAACAACACACTCAGAATATAACATACTCACCGCTAACACGGTCATTATATAAAAATCATTTACTTCTTAGTCGTCAGTATCTAAGGAATAAGTTTCAAGTACGTCTGAACAGTTCTCAGGACACAGACAGTTAAAAGGTGTGGTGGACTTTAGAATTTTACCTGTGCCGCCCGGTTTCGTGGAACATAAACAATAGGCCACCCTTATTTTAATCCCTTTTAAGACTCTAATGAGCACAGGGTTGGCTAAATTAGGGAGTATTTGTTTGTATTATTATTTTTTTTGTTACTATTTTAACTTAAATAATTGTAATACCAACAAATACATATTTCTCATTTTCGACAGTACAGAATGGTCCTACATGATCAACATGCATAGTGGAAAAGGTATCATTTTTTTCGGAATTGGAAAAATTCCAGTTTGGTCCCAGAGACAGATTTCATGTACATGCATTAAAATATTTAGTTAGCGGGCTACTAAACACGTGGTTACATATACATTATATAGTTTCTGTAGAAAATAAGTATGAATGAAATTAACTCGTTCGACTTTGGGGTTCGCTTTGTTAGTATACCGTCTTGCAAACAAATGCATCTAACGAATGTGGTTTGTGGATAAGGCGTTGACTTCTCAAACAAGGGGTCGTGAGTTCGGAGTAATCGGTGTAATGTGGGACAGATAAAATAAGGATATAAATAAATGTAAAAGAATGTAACATAATATACATGCAAACAAATTAGGTAAATAATAAGAATCAAGAAAGGTTGCTGTATGTCACCTAAAAATTTGGAGTGATTTGACAGTTATACTTAAATCATTTTACTTTTTGATAAATATAATAGTCTATTATCTTGATTGAAACAAACAGTTGAAATTTTATATAAATCATTGACTATTTAAAACGCTTTATAGCTACACTTTTAGGCCCGTTATTAGACTTGTATAACTCTTCTTTTAAATGAAAGTCAGCATTAAGTACTTGTTTTATGTTTCTCATGTGGGAGTTCTTTAAGGTTAACATTTGCATCCTTAAAATGTTAAACACTTCTTAAATAGTGAGTAATTTAACATACTTTTCAAAATTTCATTATTCTTTTAGAAAGTAATATTTGTGTATATTCTAGGAGGGTCTACATAATAGTACACATTAGAGTGGTCGTCAAAAATTAATTTTTTTCCGACGCCCTAAAAACCTTTCTTTTGATGAAAAAATATGGGGATTTTTTTTAACAAGTTTATTTTTACAAAAAATCGTAGTTTTTCAAAAAAAATATCGGAAAATCTGAAAATTTTGAATTTATGGAGTTAATGAGTTTATTATTGGGAATATCTCCATAAATATGACCTTTATAAAAAAATGAAAAGAGACCTTTTTTTGTAGAGAATGTTATTTTCTACAAAATTGCTTTCAATGCTGTTTTCTCAAATCCGTCTACTTTAAGAGATATTTGGAAAAACTATGAGTTTATGATAAAATAAAAATCAATCGGCACGTGTTCTTGTTCTTCAAAACAAAAAAAATCCCCTGTGTTTTTTCATCAAAAAGAAGGTTTTTTAAGGCGTTAGAAAAAATTCAATTTTTAACGACCACTCTAGTACACATGAATCCCCTGTATGTTTTCTATACTGATAACACCCTTAACATATTTGTTCAAAGATCTCTGGTAGAATCCGACCATCAAAATATTAATTTTATTGTTTCGCCGCCAGCTTTGTGATGTTCCACGGTCATAAACTTCAAATCCGAAACTTACATCCTTTTCGACATGTTTACAAACCGACTCGAGCAAAAAAAATGTTGACCCTGTGCCAATGAAAAAATGAATTTATTTTACGAATATTTTCTCGTAATAATTCGCTTACCTCTACATAACGAAAAACGCGTCCAAAATGTTAAGTAAGTCAGTTGCTTACAGTTCTAGGAACCGCGAAGTGGCTAAACTTAGTCGGATGGACACGGTAGAAGGGGGATTTATAAGCCCACACTCGTCCAACTTCATAATACAGTCCAGTTGAACCACACACGCACCATCTGTTGTCGATGTTAAAAAAATATTACTCGAGAGATCTATTCTTCGGTGGTAAAATTAATAATTACTCGAGAGGAGTTGTATCGGCGGTTCGATAATTTCGATAGGTGGTGTCGGGAAAATTATATTATCGGTTTTTCCGCGAAAAACCGTTTCGTTCTCTTTCTTTGTTATGTGACAGTGTGTTTTATTGGTGGTGGAAATTAGTGTGTGAATATGGTTGTTAATAAAATCAGTAACATGCCAGTGCAGCCGAATTTGAATATGCGGCGCATATTTTTCAATCGAAAGGTAATTTGAGACAAACTTTGGGTATTTTCAAAAAAAAACAAGACATACCTACCTATTTCTTAAGTAAGGGAGATGGTAGAAAAAGTACTTTCTATTTCATCGATTTAGAAGTATTACTTCATCATCAAGCACACCTAAATACCCATTTCTATTATTCAATTCGACAAGACGTACCTATTTACGTATCAATAAATAGTAAAAACTAAGAAATTAATTTTTTTAACTCCGAAAATACATTTGCTTGGTTTGACGTTGATGCCGAAAGAATCTAATATTCCAAAAAAAATATCTAAATGTTTAAAACGTTCAGTTTCCTTTTTATTAGGTAAATAAAATCTAGACCTCTAACGACTTCGGTAATAAATCTTTGAAATGTATTTCCTGCGTTTCACAATCCAAAAGGCATTCTAAGGAATTCAAAAGAACCAAAAGGAGTGGTAATTGCTGTTTTGAAAGTATCTTGTTCTGCCAATGGGATTTGGTGGTAGGCCCTAACCAAATCAAATCAAGCATAAAGGAAATCTGTTAGCAACAGCCATTTTATTTAAAAATCTATAATCACCATAGGGTCTCCAATCGTTTGAATCTTTTTTGAGTACCTTGTGTAAGGCAGAATTGACCTAAAAATGCACAATTCGATTCTTGCTTAGCAATTTTATATAGGATCTAAACGAAAAGGTTTGCAAAAAGGTAAAGGACGCCGAACTTTTTACTTTATTTTTGGGTACCTACTGACAGAATTTGTTCAAATTTTAGTATGTTATATGTTAGATTGTTAACGGCAACTTTCATATGAACCTCAAGTTTGCAACTCTACAGGGTGAGGTGTTAGAATAAGTCAAAAGTATGGAGTACAGAATTAATATTTTCACATATATCTTTACCACTCTTAAGCAATTTTTTCCATGAAACTTATGGCACGTCTTACATTTGTATATAGTTTGTTAATGCTTACTTGCACTTTATAAAATAAATTATACAGAAACACATTTAGCGAAAAAACAATACAAATTGATTTTAATGCATTTTTGTTAACATGAAATTTTTGTTTTTTGTTTCTTGTAACATTATTGAGGAATATTAAATGGCTTTAAGAAATATTTCTTTTTAAACAAAATAATTTTTATTAAAAAATGGGAAGCTCATAAGCTCGACTGGAAACAAGCTCTCCGGATTGTAATCTTGGTGTAAGCGGCAGTTATATTCTTTAAAGTATTCAAAACAGAGTAAGACTTTTAAGCACTATATATTTCAAATGAACAATTTGGGTGTTCACAGAGCTTTTTGTTGCTGTCTTCATTACCTAAGTTAGCTGCTTCATTTGCCTTCGGGCTTCTTTTATTTATCTTTCTAGACTTTTTCTCTAATTCATTATTTGTCCAACTTTCTAGACTAAATAAGTGACGCCGGCATAGATCATGATTATTACAAACAACTTCTTTGCAAAGTAATGCACTACACTTGTTAATGCCTTTGTTTTTACATTTTCTCGCGGTACATTCATAAACAACAAAATCAGGGTCTTGATCACTGTAATCTCCAAATAGTGAGTTCTCACTTTCACTATTGGATTGAGTATACTTTCGTTTTTTAGCTTCTCTTGTTATCGGCCGTGTTTGGTACATCAACTTTATTCTTGTTTTTTTAACAATGGGAGGAATATTATCATCAGAGCCACATTCGCTTGAAGGAGATTTTGATAAGCCAACTTCCTCCTGGCTGTTATCATCAGAGCTGTTGTACTGTGCGTTACTATCATCATTTTCTGTAGCAACTATTATTCCATAGTAGAATTTTCCACCATAATCCATTTTTACATTTTCATTTTTTTCGAAACGGTTTGATCCATCAATAAGAGACAATTCTTTAATTGCAACAACATTTTCTGTTCCATCTTCCCAATTAATTAAAACATCACCTACCTACATAATACAAAAATATTTTTTTCTCCTTGATGAGTGCTCCGCTAAATAGTATTGTATTCCTAGACAGTAAAGTGCTTTTTCAGGCCCCAAGAAGTGGCCAGTCTAGGCGCAGTGGTTTACACATAATTTTTTATCCTACACAATAATTGTTTACAAAAACTATAAACGTCTAATTTCCGTTGGACTTGTATTATGGATAAAAAATGGCGTCGTAAAACAAACATCAAACATGACAGCTTATTATTTTAATGATTCGATATACGTTTAATCTCCTTGAAGTCAGTAAAATTCAACTTTCTCATAGTGAAGGATAAAAATTAAATTACATTCAGCCCTGTATAATTGGGCCAAAATGAACCTACAGTAGATTAGGTACTGTTGGGACAAATATGTCACGCATTGCAATTACGCTTATTTTTTGATAAAAATAACTGTTAATCTTAATCTAAATCCTAATATACATAATTAGTAATACATACCTAGTTATTTCACAAAGAATCTTTAATAAAAATACAATATAACTAGCACTTAAATCGTCAAAGAGTTACCACACAATGTGCTCACTAGAGACAATAACACACAAACTGTGAGGTTATGCTATTTTATCGCGCAAACGAATTTCGTCTTTATGAATTTGAATGTGTGGTTCCCCTATACCTACCTACAGTATTTTTAAATTGTCCCGTGACAAATGAAACTCTACAATGTTTTCAAAACCAAGATTTTGAAGAAAAAAGTCGTAGAGGAGTTAAAACTTTATTTATTTAGTTTTTTTTTTATATTAAATTGTGATTGGTTTATAGTTAATGTATGTAATAATAGTTTTTTTAAATGCAGTTTCTTTAGTTGATTTGTAATATTATTATTTGTACTATGAATTATAATGTATTTCTGTCACACCCTGTATTATTAATAAATATTACCTAGTATTTAATATAACAAGTAAGCGATCAGAAATAATGTTCTAATTAAGATAATACATGAAAATGCACTTTATTTAAGTAATTACTATTCCTAATTTTTTAAACGCTCTGTATGTTTTATTTTCAAAATACCAGAAGGCATTAACAAAATATATACAAGTGTAAGAGGTATCATAAGTTTAATGGAAAAAACATAAATTATTTAAGAGTAGTAGAGATACTCGTATATGTATATGAAAATATTAATTCTGTATTTCATACTTTTGACTCCTTCTAACAGCTCACCCTGTAGAGCTGCAAACTTGAGGTCCATAAGAAAGTTGCCGGTAATGACCTGAAAAATAACATACCAAAATTTATCAGTACACAAAATTAATGTTAAAAGTGCGGGGTCCTTTCCTTCAGTTACAATATAATGTCTAACATTGTGTTTTACTGGAGATGAAAAAATTCCAAGATATTTTTTAAACAGTCCGGTATATTTAGTATCAACATTACATAGTTCATGTGAAATGTCTTTAGTTTTTAATTCAAATTGTTTTCCAATAGAATGAAGTTTCACTATCGATTATTTTAGAATTTTTGAAATCAAAAATTGAGCCAAAATGTATTAAAAAATCTGTACCTAAGCTTAGTTTGGAAATATTCTTCGTAATCTAACATGTATATTGAGGAATTGTTTTTCATATGTAAGAATTGTATTCCCGGAAGCTGAAGAAAGAATAACGTCTTTAACCATTGATGCTTTAAAAATATTATTTGGAACTACGCTTATATCTGTTCCTGAATCTACCAAAAATTCTAAATTGTTTATTTTAACGAAAAGAAATAGTCTTTTAGAAGATTTTTCACCTAGGCTACCTAATGTTATTAAACATGAAGGTCCTGCACATTTGTATACGTTTTTTCTATATCCCCTGTGATGATTACATAAAGCATCGTTTGATGTGTTGATTTTCATTTTTTAGTTCATTTTGTTTTTTCATCAATTTCTTCATCATTATTTGGAAGTTATTATTTAAATCTTTTATTGATTGGGTTAAATTTGAATATAACTTATCTTTAGTGATATTTATTTCGTCCCTATTATAATTATAATTAGAAACGCTGGATGATGGAGATGATTCCAACATTTTGTCAGCTATATTTAGTAGATCTTTGGTTGTAATCTTGCCAGATACAGTCAAGGATATATCTATCTAATCTAAAGACTTTGGGAGTCTCCTTCTCCAGATATTTAATAGTAAATGTTCGTTAATGTCTCATGAAAATCTTATCAATTTTCTGTAAAAATCTATCGTCCATTTAAGCTTTTGAAAGAAGTTTATCAAATCTCTTTTCCGCAGAGAATGAAAGTCTCTTGATGATTGTGTCCTTTAAAACTTTAGTAAAAATGTCTGCTGGTAAATGCGCTACAGATAAATGAAATTTATTTTTCTCTGAATTAATTTTATGGATAAAAAATTGACTTTCAATGTACTTAAACCATAGATCTGGTTGATGGGCCCAAAAAGCTATAAGTCACTTTGACATATGTCATTATTCTACATTATTGGTCACCTTTTCCACTTTAATAAACGTGCAATATAATAATTATTATAAATACGAGACACCTTGCTTGCATCTAATTGTGAGGTCTTTGTCTTATCAAATGAACTCAATAAATTTATGAAATAATATATCCGACTTTAAAGATCATTAACATTCCTCTAGCTGAACTATAAACGCCACGTCCGACTTCGGGGTCAATTAATTTAATACTCTTGTCATAAAGGAACAGTGCAGTGGCGTTATGTATACGGGGGTCTTTCAGAAAGTTCTTATCATAAAAATAACTCAAACATGCTGTGTTTTATAATTCTTACACCTCGTTTTTCAATTTTATTTTTTACCATGCAGCTATTTTGTAAATGGCTTCTTATGTTTTATAAAATATAGAACATTCATTTTTTGTTGACATTGGCATCTGTCATTTTCTGTGTCTAGTTCTTTATATATATTTATGGTCTTTTATTATGTGATTTTTAGTAATTATATGGAGGATGCAATACATGTGTTTTAAAATTGCAATTTTTGATTATAAAAGAATGAAGTAAATTTTAGGTACTAAGATATTGAATGTCACAGCGATCGTCTACATACACAATTAGCA